CCAAATGAGGTTCGGTCGATTTTCTAGCTTTGGGTGAGCATGCAGTAAGTGGAGACGCAGGGACGCTTGGCAGTTCGGGCGGAACCAGGCAAGCTCGGGCGGACGAGATAGCACACAGTCACACGAGCAACAAATGGGGGTATCCGCAAATTGTGGGTGAGCTAATCTAAAGATGGTATGGTTAGGATCATGTCACACCTCTCCCCGGCTCGTTCTTACCAGGCATTTTGTTACAGTGCGAAAGGTTGTGGGCCTACTCATTGTATAGGCAGAAGAAAATCTACCCAGCAGGCAATCGCGGAATGTGTCTTTAGGTCCCAACCTAAAGACACATTCCGCGATTGCCTGCTGGGTAGATTAGGTTGGACCGTTTGCCGAGTATTGCACTGTCATGTCACCCATCCCCTCTCCCACTTCCCCCTCCCCTCACCACCTCCGCAAGTTAATGCTACTTGCCTACTTTTGTTTTATGCACTATGTGAAGGACTTTTTAGTAGTGCCTATCAAGACTCAGCCTGAATTTGTATTTTTAGTACCTGCTAAAGAAATGTACTTGCAGGTACACCCAGATTTTGGCAACAAACTTCGAAAGATGATTGACGCGTATAATTCCATCAAAGTGGGTTTTTCCAATAATTGTATACACGATAGGCTGATAGCTTTCAGAATTATAAATCAAATAGAAGCGAAACACTCAACACATCAATCTCACCCAATTCTTGGGTCTCGCTGGGCCACCTCGATTGAGAGGTGTACGTGTCGGAAAGTCCACGGGGCTGTGAGCAATATTGCAAAAGGCGTCACATGCGCGGCGTGCGAACCAGGATCTGTCTAAGATCTGTAGTATGACTACTCAGAAAATAAGCAACTAAACGCAACGCGGATTTCCCGACAGGGTGCAGCATCGTTGTGTGAAGCACATAGAGGGGTCGTACTTTTCAGCTGGAGAGGGGGTCATGTTTGGCCGTTGTTGGAAAAGGGGAGTCTTATGTGGCGTTGAGGGAGATTTGCCGCGTTGGAGAAAAAATTTTCACGGTTGTTGATTTTGGTGGTTTTCTCTGTTTCATGTTTACGCCCTCCCCCCCCAACCCCTGTTCGACATCATAGTTTCTAGTAAAAGTTGGGAAATTCTCGGGTCTCGGGGAATTCCGGAAAGAGTAGTAGGAGGTATTGGGGAAGGAGGGAGAGGGGATAGTACCGAGACCGTCACTTAGATGGGGGGAGTGCTGACACCCTCTCTCGGAGGTGGGGGATGGGGTGTCGTGCCTACAGCACCATTTGACACATCACAATGCCGGGACTCTGGACACCCCAAAGATTTTTTTATTGACCTTTCTAGATTTCTAAACATGATGTAAGAGCGGTTGGAAACCATTCGACCTTGACAGAACTTTCAGAACTGACTCGTTCGCCACTTTTGATCAACCAGTCCATTTTGGATGTAAGGGTGAGTCAAATTATTGTCCATCATAAAAGATGCCATGAACCTGATCAAAGGACTCATAGAAGGTTCGTAATTCAGTGCTCAGAACGTTGTACGGAACTTACTGAGGGAACTATCTCTCTCTTGGATTTCAAAATTGTATCCACTGTAGTGTTCGCTTTCGGTACTGGGCAGCTGGGTTTTGTTTCGCCAGCCCATTCACCAATGACTGTGGAAGCTTCGGGATTTAAAACCCACGCGCAGAGCTGGAATCGTCAGCACTTTGATGTGCTTAAGTTGCTCCTTCTGTCCCGCTCGCCACTCCCATGTTACGATTGTCTTGGCACATGCTCACGTTAAGAGCGAAATCACTTAGCTTCCATTTAGTCGCAGAGCTCATCGATGCGTCGAAATATTCAGTCGATGGCGTGGAAATATACAGTCATCATCTGGTGATTTGATTATTGTGGCAAGGGATACACGCGGCTGCCCGGTGTGTGTGAGCGCGGCCGATCACCTGTTTACAGCCTATTTTAGCCATACAGTAACTTCAGTAGGTGAACAACCATACACCGTACCCCCAAATGAGCCGCAGATAAATCTGGATGCACACAAACACAGTATCTCACGACAACAGCGTCGAAATTGCTTGGGGAACGTACGTGTTGCGATGCTAAGGACATCCGAAGGATTAGAACGATTGCATAGGAAGTGTTCGTAAAGAACTATAGGTCCGTTGGATGCTCCAATAAATCTAGCTTTCGCATCGCGTACTGCGGCGTTAAACAGCAGTTATCTAACAATAACAGCTCCAATAAATCATTTTTCTATTTATAAATGTACTTGTATAATTGGGTTTCAACGGCACTCATCAAAAATAGTCCGCGTTTGGGTCAGAATTTCTCATGACATTGCAGTTGGAATCTTTGCACATTACTGAGGCATCTTGCTGATGCATTTGCGAGATGATGTGTTTGGTGTGCACCGTATTTATTTTACGTCCTCTGAGAGTACGGTGACTATGGTTTGTTCGCCCACTGAAGTGCCGTACTGTATGGCTAAAATAGGCTGAACTGAACAGCTGATCGCCGCGCTCGCAACACATCGCAACCGCGTCGCGTCCCTTGCCGCCCAAATCAAGTCAGCGGATGACGACTGTACATCGGCCACAGCCGTTGCCCACCCCTATTTCCAACAAATATTAAAACTCCATTGCCTGAAAATACAATATAGTAATGATTGCTATTAAAATAATACTTTTCAGACTGCCCGTTCATGCCCCTAATCGGCTGTTGTGCACTATCAAGTAGCAGCACTTCTTGTATAAACTCCGACATAATAGAAACACTTCTTCTCTGTATCTAGTGTTTGTATGCTTGTAGAACATATCAGCCATGTTTTATTATGATAGATCTCTTTGATTAGTGATTCACATAACAATGGAAATAATAAAAATCATAATCAACCATTTCCCGACCGGAGCTACGAATAGAGTAATAGAATTTCTGTCTGTTTCTGCGGAAACTTGCTTTTACTTGAAGAGCCACTTGGAGAGCAAGGATCAGGTGTCGCGGCTGATGTGGAGGGTCATTCTAAAAAATGATAGTCATATTCTAGAACTAAAATAAAATAAAAAAATTAGTAGGTGACAGAACGACGACACGTCAGTTGATAAAATCCGATGAGAGGCTGTGGAGAAGTAGCTGAATTCGTAGCGCAGGTCACAGCATCAGTGACGCGTTGGTTCTAGCAAGTGACATAGAGGGTGAGATGGGGACATCAACAGTGGGGCGATAGAATGGTGGGGGCTGATGAGGGGCATTGCGATCGGCGTCGTTGCTCGAGGTTGTGAGCCCTGACACTACCAAACCAAGTTCAGTGATAGGGGCGCTGATGACGGGTGAGAAGTGATGATATCAATTGATAAGAAAATATAGAACCATCTTCATTCTCGAGTGTCAAAGGCGCAGTGTATGAACCCTTTCCTTGAGCCATCGCGATGTCAACAAAATCGTAACTTTTCAGAACTACGTGCTCTCAGATGCATATAAGGATGTCCAGCGGGAATGGGAAAGGGATATTGTGCACCTGAGACGCCGCAACTTCCCTGATGTTTGCTGCTGTGTTTTAGCTACGATAATGGGTGGAAAATGTAGGTCGCAATCGAGCCGAAATAAGGGGAACTACTTCCGTTCGACGAAGTACTGCACCGATGCAACCACATCATTAGTCAGTTAACCCGTTTCATCTTGCGAGATAGTAGAAGCTATCCCTGAGACTCATAAAGTCTTTTTCTTCCAACAATGGTTGATGAGGACTCAATATGTAATTTTATTGGTGAGCTTTCGCTGCGTAGCAGCTTCTTCAGACCTACAATAAAACGAGCATACAGTACTACAAAACATTACAACAATTAAGTTGTCCAAGTACTAACCAGACTGTATTCCCTTCTTAACAATAGAGTTG